GGAACACAGTCTTTAACTCTACACTAATGTTAGCCAGGAACACGCAAGCTCACCCATCCTAAGCTCCTCCTAGTTACACGTTATGGAAAAATTCTCAAAGGAAAGGGAGATGGCTGGAAATCCAGCTTATAAACTATACAAAACATCAGCCATCAGCCACTTCACTATGAGCAGACACCTTTTATTACTAATGTCTTCGGATCCTGCTGAAGACCTCAGTTCTGCGGATCTATGTGAAGGAGAGAAGATACTCACCCTTCAAAATAATCCTGTTTGAAACAGAAACACGAGGGGCCTCCCTCTTTAACCTGAGTATCTTTCTTTGAGAAATCATGCAGAAGTTTCCCTTGGAGCAAGAGGAAAACGGTCCTAGAAAGAGAGGTGTGCTATCTTCTCAGACTGGCTGGTTAGTAACGTTTTCAGGACCCACCCTCTCTCCCTTCCTTCTACCATGGTATCTCTCCCACTTCATTTGTAGACTTAGTAGTCAACCGTGACATGAGCCTTCTGGGAGTACACGAGTTATTTCCTATGCTTGTACTTAATAAACATGTTCTTGCCTTATCGTGTGTAAATCTGAAAACAGTTTTCAGCTGTGCGTTTCTCAGGTGTTGGGTGAATGACCCAGATAAGCCTGTCCCTAGCATCAGATTCTGGCATTCATAAATGCCAACCCTTAGGGATAATGGTGACATTAATCACCCTTGCAATTCATGACATATGGAAGTAAACAATTAGCTCTCATTTTCACACACATATGCACACGCACACACACACACACATGCACACACACTCAACCACCGGGCAGTGTTTATATGCATATATCTTCTTTTTCTCCTTGGCTGCTATCATTCCATTCATTGCTGTTGCTGTTTCATGACCTTATGTGTTCTATTGCTGTGATGAACACCACATCCAAAAACAACTTGGGGAAAAATGTTTATTTGACTTAAAGATCACAATCCATCACTGAAGAAACTCAGGGGAAGAAGTCAAGGCAGAAATTGAATAGAAATCATGGAAGAATTCTGCCTGCTGGTTTACTTATTAGTACAGTTAGATATCTTATACAGACCAGGACCACATGCCTAGGGATGAAACCACTCACAATCAAGACAAAATCGTACAATATGCCCATGTCATCCTGATGGAGACAGTTCTTTCCAGATGACTCCAACAAGTATCAAGCTGAGAATAAAAGATATCCAAGATACTATGCAAATAGACAATCGCATCTTTTAGAATGTCATCAACAAAATATAACAAATTTGTTATTGCATTTGCTTTAACAATATTTTTAGCATACAACTATTGAATGAAGGTATTTATATAATTTTCAGGCTATGCCACCTAAAAAGGACTTTCCTTGTATTTCCCCAATAAGCTGAAAGTCTTCTTGGTTCTTCTAAATGCCTAGGGCTGCGAGACCTCCTCTGCTTTCAAACTCTCTCCTTCGCTCATCTCTTTTGCTCTGAGGTTGTACTATAGTAAGAGTTTCTGACGACCTAAAATAAATCCTGATTGGAGAAGACTTCTTTGTCCAGTACACTGGCAGGCAGATGATGAAGACTTTCTCACAGCACAGACATAAAGAAAAAGGTTTGTGACAGGGCTTGAAGCATTGAGAACAGCAGGAGTTAGTCCCGGCCATTAAGTGAGCAGATGTAGTGGGAATGGAAGTTCCTTCTAGACAGGACCACAAGGGTGAGGAAGAGGTGGCAGGAGCCAATGCATTTAGGTACTTGAATTCCAGCAAGATTGCAGTTCTGAGGAAAGCAGTCAGTTAGGAGGGATGGAATCTCAGTGATGAGTACATTATCTTCACAGAGCTGAGCTGCATTCAGAACTCAGGGTTCATCTCCCCAGTGAGCCTCAGAGCCTGCTCATAGTACAGCTGGGCCTCGGTCATGTTCCCTTTCAGCTTGTGGACTAACCCAAGAAGGCTGGTGCTCTCCACAGGTCGAACATTCTGCTGAACCCGTTTGTTAGCTACTGTCTTCAAAGCTGTGAGTAGTTTCCTCTGGGCATAGGATGTTTCCTCTATTTTTAGACCTTTTAAGTAGTGGGTGATCGCCTTGTCTTCTGATTTCTGATGATATTGCTGGTAACGGCCATAGCAGAAATGAATGTCCTGCACTATGTGACCCACAAGGTTCTGCATGTTCAGCGCTATCTGGAAATTTGCCTCAGCTTCTTCATATTGGTGAATTTCTGCCTGCGTTTCAGCCATGCAAACGTAAGCCATCTCAAACATGGGCCTCAGTTCCGCAGTCTTCTGAAATTCAGAAATGGCCCGTTGTGCCATTTTCTTCATATTGCTCTGCCTACTGGGATGTTTGGTTCTGGATGTTTTCAGTTGGATCATTTGTTTCTTGTAACAGAGCCCAGTTTGGTAATGTAGGTAGCCAGACTCAGGTGATGTCTGCAAGGCCTTGTGTAGGAGTTGGAGAGCTTTGTCTATGCAGCCTTTCCTTCGGTAATACTTAGCTGCATAACGAAAGACATAGGTTTGACAGGATGTGCTGCTGAGGGCTTCTTCAATGTGTCCTTCTGCTTCATGTGTTTCTCCTATGTCCTGAAGTTTCAGGGCAAGATAAACTTTAATATATGGATTTGCTGGATTTAACCTGACAGCCTTCCTTAGGGGTTCCAGAGACATTTTATTGTCATCGAAGTATTCACGATAGGTGGCTATAGCATAGCCAATGCTGTATTCGGGGTTGTCAGAATCAGCTTCCAGAGCTTTTGCAAAGCAGGCCATGGCTCGTCTATAATTCCGTCCTCCACACTTCAGCAAGGCCCAGCCTTCCTCACAGTGCACCTCGGCACACTCCATCCTGTAGCGGAAGGGACTTGCAAATTCCTTACAAGTATTCTCCACCTTGTCCAGGTAGCTCTGGGCTTCTGCCAAGCTGCCCATGTGGTAATGCACCCAGGCACAGTTGCCCCAGGTCACCACGCTTCTTTTGCCCAACTCCTCTCTCCTGGCCAAGGCTTCTGCTTCTCTCAGGCTCTTCAGGGCTCCCTCATGCTGGCCTTTCAGGTGTCTCACGTAGGCCAGGAGGTTGTGCATCCCCACTGGCCCCTCGATGTCTAGGAACTCGAGCTGCTCTGATATTCTCATTTCCAAATCAGGTATGTCAGCGTCTTCAAACAGCAAGCTCCACGTGAAGTGACAGCTCAGCTGAAGGAGATTCTCCTTGACATGATCAGCACCAGCATTCTCTCTGTGAGAAGGAAGCAGGATGATTGGTTATGTGAGACACGGCCAGAAACTGACACCACGGAAAACACATTTTACAACATTCTTGCTTATTTCCTGGAAGTGTGACATTTTGTTTCTTTAGAATTTCTTGCTATTTTTTCACATCAATCTCTCAGGTCCATTTATGAGAACTGCCAGAGACTCCTTGTCCATGCACGTCTATGTACGTGTACTTACAGACTTAGGCTGCAAGTTACTCCTTTCTGTTGAAACTGGACATGGTTACACAAGTATAGACACACGAGCGTACGTGTCAGACTCCTGTCTATGGTGTAAAACTCTACAAAACTATCCCCTTTTTCTCATGTCTTTGAGGACAATGTGCACAAGTGCCTGCCACCTGAACTGACCTAAATAGGGTTCAACACTCCATATTGAGGAAAAGTCATTGCAGTTTGGCTCGAGAGGACTGGAAAAAACACTTCCAACCTTTGGAGGTTTGGGGGGAGTTTTCAGGGCTTGAGAGTCTGGAAAAGGTGGAGAGAGGGTCAGTCAATTACTCAGTTTTCTTGAGATCTTTCAGGTTTTTATCTCAATTTCTGACTTCTGAGTTTTTATTACATTAGGTCATCTTTTCATTTGACATCTACAATGCCAAAAATAGTAGAATACAGGTGTGCTATCTTGTATTACCCATAATAGAGCAAACTAGCATCCTGCCCAAAAGGCTGAGTTAATGGAAACAGACAGTCATCAAAGTAGGCCAGTGGAAATAGTCATCTAGATACCTCATGAATCAGGTTAGCTCACCTGTACCCCATGCCTCCATCTATAAATGCTATGAAGGTTACACTAGGCACTATTGATGGCCTCCTCTTCCAGGTTCCACTTCTGCTAAACCATAGTGTTTTCTAACCTTCCTAATGCTGCAACCATTTTTTACAGTTCCTCATCTTGTAGTGACCCCCAACCATAAAATAGTTTTGTTGCCAGCTTATAACTGTAATTTTGCTACTGTTATGAATCATAATGTAAATCTGGGGTCATGCTCCATCTGTGACCCCAGATAGAGCATGACCCAGAGGTTGAAAACCACTGAACTATAGAAACCTTGTCTTCTTCTTTCAGTGAAGTTCCCACTAATAATCCCACAGTGAATCTTTCTGAAATCCCCTTCTGTGGTCCATTAGCATCAGTTCTGCAGACTGGAAGTGCAGAACATAGTACCACTGACTCAATGGAAGCTTTGTGTGACTGTGAGCGTTGGCTCAGTGGGTCCTGGATTAAAGTCACCTTAGTCTACAAACCTTTTCTCTAGCTCAAATCCTATTTCTTCTGCATCACACAAGTTTTAAATGCAGAAGTTCCCTGAACATTATTGACTTGAGGACCATCTAGTACATGGAATAGGACAAGGACGATGATTGAAATGACGTGATGTTTGGCCAAAATTGTTTCCTCAGTACTTCTTTTCATGTGACATTTACATTGTGCATGCATGCATGTGTGGTGTGTGTGTGTGTCTGTTTGTGTGTGTGTGTGTGCAAGGTGTCCTATAGCCAAGGCATGCATATGAAGGTCAGAGGACAGCATTTTACACTCGGCTTCACCTGCTTGTTTTTTGGGAAGGACAGACAGTGGTTTCTTGTTCTTCTCTCAGTAACAGCACTGGGGTTGCAATCCTCATGCTTGATTGGCAAGACCTTTACCCACTGAGTAATCTGCCCTGCATTATTTTAAATCTCCTAGGGAAGCAATTGTGATGCTTCCCCCCTCCTTTCTTATGACATTTCAGATCTTATGGAGAGTGGCTTGAGATTGGGCACCAAAGAGAGAGCAACAGCAACGACCATCAATGAAACCTGTTTGCAGAGAAACTCTGGCGGAGCTTCCTTTTCTAGGCTTCAAGTAACGGACAGAGGATGCTCAAAATGTCCATGATGTACCAACCTGGAGAAGAGACAGTGCTCTTTGTTCATGCCATGTAAAGGGTATGAGTTTCGTGGTCCAGTGCTCTTTGGGTTTATCCCTCATCTCACTCTTCCATTCTAATTCCAGACTGCTGTAATGAAATGTCTCTATTTCTGTTTCTAGTCATGTGGCCCTGGCCCAGTTCATTGATGTTGGACACAATGACCTGGATATCTGAAAAGTGTATCTGGGAATGCCTGGAAACATTCAATGAGCCAGGCTAGAAAGAGACAAAAGCATAAGCAATTTCTGTTCTCTCTGTGTCTGTCTCTGCCTGTTTGTCTCTGTCTCCCTCCCAAATAACTTAATGCATGGTTATCCCTTCTTTCCAGAGCACTTAGGAATGATGGACAGATTTCTGTAGGAAAATTAGTCATGGCCCCGGGGACATCTGATTCAATCCTGCTTGAATTTGCTTTCCCTGCCTACAGCAGCCCACAGCTGGAGTTAGAGATTTTGTCCTCACATTATGGGAAATAAAGACATTGGCAGGGCAGCTAAGAGCATTCTGACAACTGGACATCAGCTGTCCAGGGAAAGCTGCCTTGACTGGGAGGCCCCCAAGGATTCTTTTGGGGAGCTGTGCCCCGAGGGGAAGGCACATGCACTTGTGCACAAGCACTTGCAGCAGGAAAGCTGAGCAGCACAGAGGCAGTGGCCATTTGTGTGAGCAACTGGGACAGAGAGCAACCTGGATCCCACTGTGCACGTGCACTTGGAGTTCTCAGCATCCAGCCTCCCCTGTGCACTTGGAGATCTCAGCATCCAACCTCCCCTGTGCAGTTGGAGATGTCAGCATCCAGCCTCCCCTGTGCACTTGGAGATCTCAGCATCCAGCCTCCCCTGTGCACTTGGAGATGTCAGCATCCAGCCTCCCCTGTGCACTTGGAGATGTCAGCATCCAGCCTCCCCTGTGCACTTGGAGATCTCAGCATCCAACCTCCCCTGTGCACTTGGAGATCTCCAGCCTTTCTCACACTGCAGGCACTCATTTGCAAACCAGTTCTAGCTACCTGCTAGAGTCACGGGAACTCTAGACCCAGGCATTGATTGGAATATTGACCCCATGACCATGACTGTCACCTGACTGGTCCTCTCCAGTTTATTGCCCTCTAGTTCCTTGGGATTCACACTTTTCTACCACTGTGATTTCTGTATTCTGTCTCATCAGACAACAGCTGTTCTCCGTCTCCTGCATCCTCACATACTATTGATGATCCTTTGTACAAAGACAGAAGAGTAATTGCCCAAGTCAAGAGATGCTCAATGAAGTCCTAGAGTCTGTGAAAAAGAACTCCACTGACTGGCACTTTAAACCCAAAAGGCAATTTCAAACATAAAAAAATCAGAGCCATTCACATAAAGAAGACTCCACTCAGTGCCTAGTATTTCTTGGATATATAATAATATATATCACATATGTATTGAATATATATACTATACGTACATATAGTTTCATGTATAATATATGTCCGTGTATACTGAGTTTCTTGTGGTTGGGGGGGGCACTAAAATACCTCTTGTCAGAAGAAATTGTATTTCCATATTTTTTGTTTCTTAATCCTGGAAGATTAAAAAAGAATGTGTTCTGTGCACTGGTTAAACCAACCTGGGATGGGTAACAACGCACCTGGCACTCATAGGTAATCATCTGTCTCTATGAGATATGTTCCTGCTAAATTCTCCCCTAGGTATTTTGAACCACATGTGTGAGACAGCCTTAAAAACTAAATCAAGCTTCCTGTCACCCATCCTGGGTGCCAACAGCACTCTCATTAAACAAAATCCCAGGACCCTCAGGACAATTAGTGTCCTTTTCCCTTTTCAGTAGTAGGAAGAGATGCCAGAGGACAGAGCAAAGGAATATAAGCAGACTCAGTTAAACTTGGTCACAAGCAAATGTCTGTGTCCTGGGTTCATTCAAACTGCAGAGCAGGGAAATCCTTACCCCATGGTGGCTGTGAAGGTGGCTGAAGTTCTCGGGACTTTCACCAGGACAGGACTCCTCAGGATCTTTTCTGGATGCTCTGCTCTGCTGTGGACTTTCACACCCACTGGACTCTCGGCTGGGCTGTGCTGGGCAACAGCTCTGTGGGCTGTCCTCCAGTGCTCCAGCCACCAGCAGGAAACCGAAACTGAAGGTGGAAAGTGAAACTAAAGCCTGTGGCTCTCCCCCCCCCCCCCCCCCCCCCCCGCAGGGAAGCTCAAAGCAAGCAGGGATTGGCCTTCTTTTTTTTTTTTTTATTGCGAAAAGAAGAAAAAAAAAACATAAACAAAAAACAAGTTTCCACCTCCTCCCAGCCTCCCATTTCCCTTCCCCTCCTCCCACCCTTCTCCCCCTCCTCCCACCCTTCTCCCCCTCCTCCCACCCTTCTCCCCCTCCCCCCACTCCTCTCCCCCTCCCTCTCCAGTCCACAGAGCAGTCCGGGTTCCCTGCCCTGTGGTAAGTCCTAGGTCCTCTCCATCCATATCTAGGAAGGTGAACATCCAAACTGGCTAGGCTCCCACAAAGCAAGCACATTAAGTAGGATCAAAACCCCCTGCCATTGTCCTTGGTGTCTCATCAGCCCTCATTGTTCGCCATGTTCAGAGAGTCCGGTTTTATCCCATGCTTTTTCGATCACAGTTCAGCTGGCCTTGGTGAGCTCCCCGTAGATCAGCTCCACTGTCTCAGTGGGTGGATGCACACCTCGTGGTCCTGAATTCTTTGCTCATGTTCTCCCTCCTTCTGCTCCTCCTTGGGACCTTGGGAGCTCAGTCCAGTGCTCCTGTGTGGGTCTCTGTCTCTATCTCTATCCATCACCAGATGAAGATTCTATGATGATATGCAAGATATTCGTCAGTATTGCTCTAGGATAGGGTCATTTCAGGTTCCCAATCCTCAGCTGCCCAAGGAACTAACTGGGAACCTCATCTTGGGCACTAGGGAGCCCCTCTAGGGTCAAGTCTCTTGCCCACCCTAAATGGCTCCCTTAACTAAGAATTGTGGTTCCGTGCTCCCCTATCCACCTTTCCTTTATCCCAATTCTCCTGTTTCCCCAGGTCCCCCCTCCTTCCCTTCTACCTTTTCTCTCCCCATCTCCCCTTACCCCCATCCCACCCCACCTCCAAGATCCCATTTTCTCCCCGGAAATTTGGTCTACTTCCCTTAGCCAAGAGGATAACTATATGTTTTTCCTTGGGTTCACCTTCTTACTTAGCTTCTTTAGGTTCACCTATTGTAGACTCCGTGGTCCTTATTTATGGCTAGAAACCAATTATGAGTGAGTACATCCCATGTTCATCTTTTTGGGTCTGGGACACCTCACTCAGGATAGTGTTTTCTATTTCCATCCATTTGCATGCAAAATTCGAGAAGTCATTGTTTTTTACCGCAGCGTAGTACTCTAGCGTGTATATATTCCATACTTTCTTCATCCATTCTTCCATTGAAGGGCATCTAGGTTGTTTCCAGGTTCTGGCTATTACAAATAATACTGCTATGAACATAGTTGAACAAATGCTTTTGTCATTTGATAGAGCATCTCTTGGGTATATTCCCAAGAGTGGTATTGCTGGGTCCAGGGGTAAGTTGATCCCGAATTTCCTGAGAAACCGAAACACTGACTTCCACAGTGGTTGCACAAGATTGCATTCCCACCAGCAATGGATGAGGGTACCCGTTCCTCCACAGCCTCTCCAGCAAAGGTTATCCTTGGTGTTTTTGACTTTAGCCATTCTCACAGGTGTAAGATGATATCTCAAAGTTGTTTTGATTTGCATTTCCCTGATTGCTAAGGAAGTTGATCACGACCTTAAGTGTCTTTTGGCCATTTGAACTTCTTCTGTTGAGAATTCTCTGTCCAGTTCAGTGCCCCATTTTTTAATTGGGTTAATTAGCATTTTAAAGTCTAGTTTCTTGAGTTCTCTATATATTTTGTAGATCAGACCTTTGTCTGTTGCGGGGTTGGTGAAGATCTTCTCCCAGTTAGTAGGTTGCCTTTGTGTCTTAGTGACCATGTCCTTTGCTTTACAGAAGCTTCTCAGTTTAAGTAGGTCCCATTTATTCAATGTTGCCCTTAATGTCTGTGCTTCTGGGGTTATACATAGGAAGCGATCTCCTGTGCCCATCTGTTGTAGGGTATTTCCCACTTTCTCTTCTATCCTTTTCAGTGTGTTCGGGCTGATATTGAGGTCTTTAATCCATTTGGACTTGAGTTTTGTGCACGGTGATAGATATGGGTCTATTTTCATTCTTCTACAGGTTGACATCCAGTTGTGCCAGCACCATTTGTTGAAGATGCTTTCTTTCTTCCATTGTATACTTTTAGCTCCTTTATCGAAAATGAGTTGATCATAGGTTTGTGGGATAAAATCCGGGTCTTCTATACGATTCCATTGGTCGACTTCTCTGTTTTTATGTCAGTACCACACTGTTTTCATTACTGTAGCTCTGTAATAGAGTTTGAAGTCAGGGATGGTAATGCCTCCAGAAGATCCTTTATTGTATAGGATTGTTTTGGCTATCCTGGGTTTTTTGTTTTTCCATATAAAGTTGATTATTGTCTTCTCCAGGTCTGTGAAGAATTTTGATGGGATCTTGATGGGGATTGCATTGAATCTATAAATTGCCTTTGGTAGAATTGCCATTTTTACTATGTTGATCCTCCCAGGGATTGGCCTTCTTGCTCTCTCCCCTGAACCAATGGGGAGAAGGCTCTGGAACAGACTGCCTGCAGTCAACAGTCCATGACCAGTAGGTAACACCTACATTATTATTATTTTTTTTAATGATTCTTTGAAGTGGAATCCAGTATCTATGAAAACCTCAACATTTCCCCAGAGTTCTGGATTTTGATAGCTACTTAAATGCTCAATATGTTTAATGGAGAGGAGAAAGAGTTTGCTGTTAATTCAGAGGTGTTTAGTCCATGACATTTCCAGAGTGAGCAGCCTGTCTGCAATAGACATGAGCAGAAGCTCAGGCATTAAGTGGCCTGAGTGAGGCCAGAGGCGCATGGCTGAGGTGAGCAAAGAGAAGGGCAAGTCCGCTCCACTCTGCAGCCACACCCCCTTTCCATCAGCTAGGGTGCAAGCTCAGGGGACAGAGCCTCACACGCTCTTGTTTCTGTGTTTTGCTTGGCAAAGAGTTGGATCATTATATTATTTGAAGGTAGCATACATTGTTATGAGCTTTGGCCGGGATATAGATGTTCTTCTCTGAGGAATCCCAGTGAGTTGATAAGCTAGAATCTTTATCTCTGAAACCCCAAATTTTAGGAAAAGCCTCCAGAGAAGCCAAGCTTGGTTAGGTGGTACCCACACCTGTCCACTCCTGTCTACTTGCTGTTTTGTTTTTAAACCTCAGTGTTTTTTTTTTAATTTATTTTTTATTATGTGTACATGTGTGTCTGTGTGATGGAGGAAGGTCATTGGCTAATAAAGGAACTGCCTTGGCCCATTTTATTGGTCAGAAGATAGGTGGGAGGAGTAAACAGAACAGAACGCTGGGAGGAAGAGGAAGTGAGGTCAGACTCCACAGCTCTCCTCTCGGGAGCAGACACCTCAGAGAGATGCCATGACCCGCTCCTGGGCAGACACACGCCATGAAGCTCCGACCCAGGAGGGAATAGGCTAGAATCTTCCCGGTAAGACCGGTTCTCACAGATTATTAGAGACGGGTTGATCGGGATGTGAGAATTAGCCTGTAAGTGCTAGAGCTAAAGGGCCAAGCAGTGTTTAAGAGAATACAGTGTCTGTGTAATTATTTCGGGGCATAAGCTAGCCGAGCAGGCAGCCGGGATGCTGGGGACGCAGCCCCGCCGCCCCTATTACTACAGTCTGTGCATATGTCACATATGTGTGAGGCCAGATTAAGGGAGCCAGATGTCCAGGATCTGGAGTTACAGGCTGTGAGCTGCCCATTTTGGGTGCTGAGACCTGAATTTCAGTCCTCTGAAAGAGCAGCAAATGCTCTTAACCACAGAGTCCTTCAATCTTCCTTCTTTCCTTCCTTCCTTCCTTCCTTCCTTCCTTCCTCCCTCCCTCTCTCCCTCCCTTCCTCCCTCTTTCCTTCTTCCTTCCCTCTTTCCTTTCTTCTGTTCTTCTACCCCCTATTTCTCCCCACTATTCCTCTCCCCCTCCTCCTCCTTTTTTCCCCCCTCTTCCTTTTCTCCTCCTCCTCCTCCTCCTCCTCCTCCTCCTCCTCTTCCTCCTCTTCTTCGTTTTCTTTTTGAGACAGGTTTCTTTGTGTAGCCTTGGTTGCCTTGAATCTCACTTTGTAGATGAGGCTGGCCTCTAACTCAGAGGTCTACCTGCTTCTGCATCCCAAGTACAGGCATTAAAGGCATGCACTACTACTGCTGGTCCTAATCTTTCTTTCTTTCTTTCTTTCTTTCTTTCTTTCTTTCTTTCTTTCTTTTGGCAAAAAGAAACATCTGCCCTTCCATGCTAAAGACAACACTGGTCACTAGAACCAAGAAATGAGGTCAACTTAATTGTCTATCATTAGGGGAGTGGAGAGACTATAGGAGGATTTCTGGTAGTCAGATAAAATTGGAATTCCTCAGGAACTTGTGAAACCAGTGTCTATCTGCCAAAAAGCAGTCATTTCCCTCACCTGATAGGAGGGGCATATGGCTACCCATAACACCATCAGCGTATC